CAACTTAATTCCTCTATAATTTGCACACTCTTATGCTTACCCTTTATTTTTAAAAATGGGGATCAAAATACTCTTCCTCCACTCCTCAGAAATCTTTTTAGTTTTTAAAATAATATTAAAGAGTTTTGTAAGCCATGAAACTCCCAAATCTCTTAAATATTTCCACACTTCGATTGGGATATCATTTCTTTAAAGTCTTCTCAAATTCTCTTTTACTAATGCGACGGTAAATATGAAACGTTTTATTATTATTAACGATATTAAGATCATTAAGCTCGATCGTATTTTCAAAAACTTCATTAAAAAGTTTATCAAAATAACTCACCCACCTATGTTGAGTATATTTTTCTAAGAAAAGCACTTTTGGATTTTCATCTTTAATACACTTTACTTCAGTTAAATCTTTACTTTTCTTTTCTCATTGTTTGCCTAGTTTTTACATATATTTTTCACCCTCCTTTGTATCTAGTCTATTATAAAGATCATTAAAAGCAGAATTTTTAGCGTCGTAGATTGTTCTTTTAGCTCCCTGCAGGCTATTTGATATTTTTTCTAGCTATCTAAGATTTTACACAAATCAATTTTTATAACATAACATTTTGTATTTTATCTTTTCTTGCACATTATTATTCCACCATCAACTATATTTATTTATAGAAATTTTTTCTATTGATTCTCCAATTTCATCTTTTGGTACTTGTCTAATAGTGTTTGTTACTTTATCGCACATAGCATTTACTTCTTCAGGAACATCCCAAATTTTGAAATCTTAAATTTTACTCATAAAAATAATTTTATTTGTGTCTTTAAGGTTTCCCCATCGAATTCTATAATGATGAGTCCTAGTATTCTTTATTTTACAACTCTTTATCTTAAAATTTAGAACTAATAAATGATGTTGGGTACTTAAATCCTCACTTAGAATGACCTTACAATCTTTACAATTTTGACGATCTCTTGTTCGCATAAAAAAATAATTAATTTGTGTTTTATTGGATCCATGCTTATAAGTAATAAGATGTTTATCTCTTTTTTGAATAAAATATTAGTAATAATAAAATCATACGCTGAAGAAAAATCTAAATTAGCTCTACTTTTTTCATTAGTCACTCAAAAACCGTAGCCCTCGTGAATATTTCTGAAATCTTTTACCATTCTACCGACATGTCCATTTAAATCTTTTCAAATAAAAATTCTTTCTTTAAGAGGTATCATTTGTATTAAGTCTTCTAAGTCATTTCAGAATTTATCTTTACACACTATATCTAATCCTACTTGAGAAGCATAAATATTTATAATATTAAAAATCTTAGTATCAATGATAATCTTAAGGGCTATAATTCAATCTCTTATTTATAATTACACTTACAACATTTCTAGTATTACTCTTACCAGAAAACCAAAGTTTAGAACCTAAGTTATCAATCTCCTTAGCCTTTTCTCCAACCCATTTGGTTTCTTGAATACATAAGTTATTAATTTTTCTATGAATCTTAATATCAACCCATTAATTTATTATTGAGAGTACCTATATTCCAAGATCCTATGCTAATATTAGTTTTATTAGTTTCATTAACTAATTTTTTTACTCACATCTGTTCGTAATGTGAGAACCCTTGCTTATCTGACACTACACTTGGACGCTGGTTTTGCGGCCCTTGAACACTTTTCACTGTATTCAGGTTGTGCAGCGTGTCGCTTCCAGGGGATGCCCTAACACTTACACAATAATAAAAACCATCCAGAAGAACCTTAAAAGTAATAGGACTAAAAAAAGAGATCAGCGTGGTTGCTTTCATTGAGATTTCGCATGTGTCAAAAATAAATAACAACGTAAAGGCCATTCAGAAGAGCCCTTAAGATCGAATATTTCATCATAAAGCTCCAAAACCAAAAAAAGAAAACATACAATATTTTGATTACATATTATATCCGTGGACCACAGTTGCTTCATCGGCCAGTCAAGTGGAAAATAATACATGCATAAGAATTAAAAATAAAATTGAGATTCAAAATATGCATCATTTGCATAAAACATCGATGCAACAAATAATAAATGTTTTCAAAACACATTACAAATAAATTAACAACAAAATAACTGAGAATTCCTCCATTTAGCCTCCAACCGTGACATCTGTAATTCGCTTCCTCAACTCCCATCATCTCCCATGCACCTTCCCCAATCCTGGGTGCAAGTCTCAGATAAATCACTTCCAGCTTGTGATAAAGATTTTCCTAGACGATATTCATATGCTTCAACAGGGACATGTGAATGTTCCTCGTCAGCCCTTTTGAAGTTAATGTCGTTGATTGAATATTGCTGCCAAATATAATTGTAAAGAGCCATTGTGGCGACCACAATCTGCACTTGTTTAGGAAATCTATATGTCGACATATCATGCAGTATAATTCATTTATTCTTCCAAACTCTAAATGTCCTTTGAATGACACCGCTTAAGGATGAGTGTCTCTTGTTGAACATCTCTTTCGTACTCAGAGTGATGTTGCTAGCTCTCTCGATATCAGTAATGTTATATTTGATATCAGAAAAGAGTTTGAGATACCCTATTTGTAGTAAATATCAAGCGTCAAACAAATAATATTTCCCTGAAGTAATAATACTCATTAGTATTGCATATAAAACCATTTGTTACCAGGAAATAAAAAACAAATGATTTTACATAGTGACAAATCATATGTTACCCATTTTACAAGCAAGTAAAATTTTGAAATAATATTACCCATTTTACATTTACAATCATGCAAGTAATACTCATAGAGAGGCGGTAATCTTACTCAGGTAAATGTTACTCATCAATATTACTTGCATGATTTGTTAATGTATTGATTTGCTTGGAAATATCACTCATCATTTGTTATCAGGAAAAAAATCCAGGGAAATATTTATAGAAAATATTAGTTCAAGATATTTAGTAATTCATTTGTCAATACTGAAGCTAACCTGAAGGTGGCTTCGGAAAGTTTCACTTTTGAGTCCGTGTAGCGAAATTGAAAATACGACTTTTGTGTGTATTGTCTTTCCATCCAGCCATTACAAATGTGAAACACATATTGAAATCATATACATCTATCATATTTTGTGTTGGTGAATCAGATCGTCCAATATATGCAATATTTTCACTATTCGACAGAACTCCATCCATATGTGTTCCATCAATCACTCCAATACAATTCTAAAACAATTATCAGATATATTAGAGATATTGTGTTCAAGCAAATTTAGAGAAAGACGAACCCAACAAACTACCTTAAAATATGACATATAATGTTGGTCCAGTTAAATTTGTACTGGTTTGCTATGAAATATAACCCACAGTCTTCAGGTATGATAACATTTGATGATAAACTAAACAAAGCATTTATCCCAACTGAGAAATATCTACCGATGGGTTCGGATGAGTGTTAGAATCGCTTCATGACATCTCTCATGGACTCATTTTGTGATAAAATTTACAGAGTTATGAATAACACCTCTCTTGAAGTTATATTAGATGAGCCATAAAATTCATGATTTATGTGCAATTCTTCTAATATATCAATAAAAATAAACTGTATTACGAAACATGTTAAACTTTGTGGGGTGACCCACGAACAACTCCCCAAACCACTTTTCGCCTATGTACGTAAATGTCATGCAAGGAGATAGAGTAACATATGCATTGTAATATTCATACATTAAATATAATGCGGCTGTAATTTTTCTTTTATGTTTTTCTCTATTCGTGATAATCATGAAAACTCTAAATTAGAGAAAAACTGCATTGAACATTAAAGAGTAGCATACAAATAGCACTCTACTTCAAAAACTTCATTGAAGATATCCAAATAAAAGGAAAAAAACCAAGCCTGAACATGACGAAAGAAACAGATAATGTCCTAAATTCACGCATCTTGATTATTGTAGTAATAGCGAAGTAATTAATCCTACAGTCAGGTTTCATTTACATAAAATACTCTTTCCTGATTGGGTTTTCTAACTAATTCATGGAGAACAAGTAAAACGACATGTCCTCATTAATTTCTAAAGTATCTTCCAGAATTTTTATAACATTTTGAATAGAAATCGCATGTGATCCGATAGGCTCACAGGTTCATGAAGCTAACTACGTTAATCTTGAAGCTTCTCGAGATGAAGTTGAAGCCCCTTCCACTTAGGGAGAATGACACAGGAGCATCCCATTATGCAGGAGGTGGGCGCTCCCCAATTAGGATGTGAAATTTCTGCAACAGGATTTCACATTCGTGAAGGCTGTGACGAGATTTCCCGCCTATTGGCTTGTGGCTGGCAATGTGTGCCCTATTTGCGTCATTTTAATTTATAACTTGGTTTAATTTCTTGTTTTAGTTTAGGTATACTGTTTTAGAACTTGTCGGACACTTTTTAGTTTTTGGTTTATGCACTTGAGAGATTGTTTCCTTTGATTTTGGGCCTAAGGAATGCTGTATCTTTATCCTTATGTAAGTTGTGTGCCTGTAGTTGTTCCGGACTTGGTGGTGGATCTCCCTTGGCTTTTGTGCCCCACCAGTATTGCCATTTATCTTGTTACTTACTGTTTCACCTCGAGCAGTAGCTGAACTCTTTCGTTTTCTCTTCCAACCCCTACTAACTCCGTATATTATCTTCCGCAGCCATTCAACAACTTTGCTGAACACCTTCTTAGTGCAGAATGGTGTTAGTGTCCATACCACTCTTAAGATAGCTATATGTCTTTTAATTTTATTGGTCTGGGGTTTAAGCTTGAAAAACTGCTCGCCATTAATATATATAGATGTATGTATCTCATCTTATTAATTTGTTATTGAACTTTATATATCAGTTTCAGTGCCTGAAGTTTGTTAAGCTGTACATTAATATAATCCTAGAGCTACTTTTTGGCGTCGAACTTAGCATGAAATTTGATTCTATCTTGTATGGATTTTCTTACATGTAAAATCATTTGTTTTCCCTATAAATATTTGCAGAACATTTCTTGTTGCAGGATGAACGTTATTTTAAATACATAGGGAGACAGGCAATTGTGCCTTTAACATTTGGCAGGCATGTTCCAATTATTGCAGACAGGGTAAGAATTTATTTGTCAAAAATCTATCAACTTTCATTCTGGTCCATAGTCATTTCTGTGGATGCAAGCATTATGCAATACATTTACCAACTCTTTTGTAATTTCATCTTGAAAGTTGCAACGGGCTAAATACTTTTATCTGATAAAAATGAATCATGCATTTTCGTTTTCTAATCACAGGTGCATTTATTTTTGTTGGTGTTACTTTTAAGTAAGAATTTTTAGTTTTTGAAGATGTTGCACCTCACAGAGTCTCATTCTAGATGATTGAAGAACTGTGATTTTGTGGTTTGGTGTGCCAATTGAGGTTTGTTGAAGCATTGTTTTGTGAGAGGAACATATGATAATTAATGTGTGCGCTTTGAGAGGCTTGTGTGGCTACGAAATTATGAATTAAAAAATGCAAATTGGATTATAATATAATGTTTGGGAGGAACAAGAAGGGTTAGATACTTAGGTGATACATAATGCGTATGTAAAAATATGCATAAACATTTAACAGAAGAAATTTCCCATCTCAAAATATACTTTGATACAGTTTGTACACAGTGATTAAATCAACTTCATTTTCCCTATTTTTTATTTTTGATTTTTTTTTTAATTTTTTTGTGAGTCTTGGCCCAACAATTCATGAATTAAAAAAAACGAAAAAAAAAAAAAATTTCTGTTTTCCTGAATTTCTGTTTTCCTGAATCATGAAGAAAATTAGAACTTAAGGGTTCTTGTATATGCTTTCTGTCCTTTTTTCTCAAGTTGTTTCCATCCAACTTATCTGACTGATGACTCTGATTACACTAAATTTAATCGAAACATCCTTTGGTGGCTAACAGATTAGTAGCAAGTACAACTTCAATAAACAATTTTTTCTAATGAAACGAACATTTTCCTGTCAAATGAACAATCTCCATACTTGAAAAAAAATATTGAATTCTTTTCCTTTCCTAATTTATCTCTAATTTGTATGCTTCTTTTGAGAGCAGTGTGTAGATAAAAAATTTGGAACGGGAGTTCTGAAGATAAGCCCTGGGCATGATCACAATGATTACCATCTTGCTAGAAAGCTTGGACTTCCTATACTTAATGTCATGAATAAAGATGGCACTCTTAATGAGGTTGCAGGATTGTACAGGTATAATTAGAAGTCATGGTAAAATGGATCCTTAACCCTTGGTCCAACAATAGTAGGTAAATATAGTTGCACATTACTTCAAAAAAATTCTTTTGGTTATACTTTGTAGCGGTCTAGATCGATTTGAGGCACGGAAGAAATTATGGTCTGTTCTTGAAGAGACTGGCTTGGCAGTTAAAAAGGAACCACATACTTTACGGGTTCCAAGATCCCAGCGAGGTGGAGAGGTGTAGAAACAACTATTCAACTTTGATAAATATATCCATCTTTTTGTTTTTTTATTGTTCTTATCTTTGAAGTTACTTATGCGTTGAACTTTTCTTATGCCTTAGATAATAGAACCACTGGTGAGCAAACAGTGGTTTGTCACTATGGAACCTTTAGCTGAAAAGGCACTCCATGCAGTTGAGAAGGCAGAGTTAACTATTCTTCCTGAAAGATTCGATAAGGTAGTAACTGTTTTAGATCTCTTTAGGCATGTTTCTATCTTGAAGTCTGATTAATTCTAAAGGGTATTAGAGTTTGTTTTATGGTCAGTTGTTTGAGTTGGATGAATAATTTACTTTCTACATCTGCTCTCCTTTTTTTCTACTGATATAAAATATGCATTGTTTTCTTTGTACATGCTTAAGCTTTGAAAACTTTGCACCATTATTAAGGGCCTCCTAGTTGGGTTTGTATATGATCTAATGACCAGTTTTTATGGATGTTTTGGCCGCAGATTTATAAACATTGGTTAACTAACATTAAGGATTGGTGCATAAGTAGACAATTATGGTGGGGCCATCGGATACCGGTTTGGTACATTGCAGGCAAAAATTGTGAGGAAGAGTATATTGTCGCAAGGAATGCTGAGGAAGCACTAGCACTAGCTTATGAAAGATATGGAAAATCAGTTGAAATTTATCAAGATCCTGATGTTCTTGACACTTGGTTTTCAAGGTTTGCTTTCGCTAAATGATGAGCCTTTTCTTGAATATAAATTCTGTGTTGTGTTATGTTACAACGCATTAAAACAGTTCCTCTGAAGTTGGATTGAATTATTATTCATTGCCTGTATGTTTTTTTAAAGGTTGCTTATTTCTCGTACTTTCATTTTGTATATTTTTTGTGGTTATCCTTGATAGTTGGGCCTGTGCATAGTTATGATTAATTAACATGTTACTATTGTACATTTGAATTCATGTTGAAAAATTTGTCCGATAGATATGGCTACACGTAACTTTGTGCGTCATTGTGATTAGCTTGCAGAGTTCGTGTCATTCTTTTCATCGACACGCTTTAATCTTTTCATCTTCCAGGAAAGTACTGTGAGTTTAGTTTGTCATCGTAATTACCAGAACTTGATTTAAACTATTATGCTTTTTGGTTTTTTTGTCCATTGGGGGCTCATTTCAAGAAAATTAATAAAACAGTTTGCGAGTACGACATGATGTATGACATTATCTATTTTCTTTGCATACTTTATTAAAAAATTACTAATCAACAGAAATTCCTGTGATGTAAACAATAACGTGGTTTACAAAAAGAAATGAACTAAAATAATTTAATTGTTAACATCTTATCTTTTGTTTCAGTTCATTGTGGCCTTTTAGTACACTCGGCTGGCCTGATTTATCATCTGAGGATTTCAGAAAATTCTACCCAACAACTGTTCTGGAGACTGGGTATGTTTTTCATTTATCTATTTTATTTAATACTTTGTTGATGATGCAAGATAATTTTATGCGTTGAAGGTTTCATCATCTAAATCATTATTTTCTATTTTATTATTTTTACTTTTTTTCTCTAAGAATCTTTAAAATTTTTATATCATGTTTTTATAAATATTAATTACTATTTAAATAATGTTAGTAATGCTATATATTTTCCTTTTATTCTCTAAATTTCTGTAAAAAAAATCCATTCATATGATTAATACAAAAAGATAACTATACTGAGTATCTTGGTGGTGTTGGCATCAAATTTCTATGTGGGAAGCGAAGTTGAATTTATTCAGGTTTAATTAGGTCATATTTCCCAAATAAACCCATAAGCTGTGATACACTTTATCGTGTCGTTCCTCAATTTTGTGCGTCTTTACCATAAAGCCTGCTTGTGCTTTCAAGAGTCCTCCCGCCTTTGCCTGCCCATAGGAAAACTTGTGAGCGATTGTTGGCTTCTATGCTATTTGAAACAATTGTTTCTGGCAGGCAAAAACCGTAAAGCTGCTCAGCATAATCTTTGTCCTGTTTGAAGATTAAGGACAAATTACGTTGGGCTTAGCTAATCACCATTTTATTACCTACAATTTCAGTACCTTGGGCCATTAGCTATTATAATAGTTTTTTTTAGTCCCTTTGATCCACGCTTGCTAGTGCTATTTTGGTTGACAAATGGGCATGGCCATTATGGTTGCATTATGACATGACCTAGCACAACAACAACAACAACAAAGCCTTAATCCCATCTCCCTCTCTTTTTGATAACGAAGTCAACCCAAAAAATAACAATAACAACAACAAAGCCTTAATCCCACTACGTATTGTCGGCTGCATGAATCTTTTTTCTCCATTGCGTCGTATTTAGTGTCATATTTTCATTTAGTTCTAGTAAATTAAGATCATCTTTAATACAATAAGCCCAAGTCTTCCTAGGTCTACCTCTGCCTTTCTTAACACAAGTCGAATCTAAAACATCTACTCTCCTAATCGGATCATCAGATGGTCGACGTTTAATATGACCAAACCATCTAAGACGACTTTCTCTAATTTTGTCTGTCACATGACCTAACACAAACAAACAAATTAACAACGTACTGAGGCCCCGTTTGGGCTCATCATTTATGGTGTGTTTGCGTTTTGAGAACACATGCAAGGCGTTTGTTTAGTGCGTTTTTTCCTGCTTATCCGAAAACGGAGTTTGGATTTTTTAATAAATGTGGCCGCAGGATCGACCCGCGGCCCGCGTTTTCACTTAAACTTATTACCCGCTTGCCCCTTCGTTCCTCTCTCGAGCCCGTCGAAGAGGCGTGGAGATCCTTTTCGAGGTTGCCGGGGCCAAATACGTTGTCGTCAAGGAGGCGATTGAGGAGATGGGCGAGGTCAGTAGATGGTTTGCTGCCGAGAAACCCAACCACGTTGACGTCAATTGGGGATGGGGAAATGGAGGAAGTTGAAGGAGCAAAAGAGGAAGATGATGAGAGGTTAGGGTTGAGATTCTGAGGAGGGTTGGAAGAGGGGATGGAATGCAATGGGGTAGGGGAGGCAGCGATGGGAGCGACGATGGGTGAGGTTGTCGTCATCGGAGGTGGGCGGATTAGGACTCGTAGGGGAGAGGAGGAGCTGGGATGGGAGCGACGATGGGTGAGGTTGTCGTCATCGGTGGGGGGCGGATTAGGGCTCGGAGGGGATTAGGTCTCGTAGGGGAGAGGAGCTGGGATGCTTCATGGGCATGATGTAGAGCGCTGTCGTTGTTAAAGGTGGAGCGGAGAGTTTCAGAAGTGTGTAAAGACTCTATTGAGAAGAAGAGGTTGGAGCCTCGGTGGAGCAATTGTTGCATGTGTACTTAATATTTAAACAATGTTAGCTTACAATTTGGAAAAGAAAACTAAAATAATAATAAAGAAATGAAGAAAATAAAACTAGCATGTTAATGCCACAAGATAAGCTCAGAACCCAAACCTCAAATTGTAGTTGCATTTTTTTGGTGATGTGCATATGTGACACACACGAGAGACAGTTCTATCGGTGCTCGCAGAGCATCACGTAGAAGTGTGACTTCTTCCGGTGGGCAAATATTCCGACAAATTTCACTGTTGATAGTGATTGTAGTTAGATGGTATCCATAGAGGACGACGTAGCTCGTGACATACGTCGTCTGGATTTTAAAATTAATATTATCATATTTTTAATTGCAATTTTAATAGTTTTTTTATGGAATCTTGATACTGACTATTGAGGTGTATATCTTATTTTTTTTATTATTTTGGAGTGATTTTTTGCTTCTCAAGTATCAAATATATTGTTATGACAATTCTGTTACAAATAATATTACTGCACAGGGCCAAACAGCTGTTTTCCAACAACATAAACTAAACAACCAATTAACTTATCCGGATCAGCTGCTGATCATCAGTTTATCCAGATCAGCTGCTTATCAACAAATTATTGATAAGCCGCAGCTGCCTCAAACAGACCCTGAGTGTCATCTCCATGTGTTAGTCTTACTGAGGCTGCATCATCACTTTGGGTTGTTGATTAGGTTAATGATTGATAAGTAGGATGAAAAGAAATTTTGTTACCAATTTGATGATGTACCTTTAATTTATTCCTCTTCCTCTTTAAATTTGACTTTGATTGTATTCTTTTTCTTGAATTCTGGGGAATTTTATGAATTGTGAGGGAGGAAGAGAGGTTTAGGGAATCGATATGGAGTATTTGTAGCATATACTTTTTGGGTATTGTAGTAGTATCCAAATGAGTGAGTAGGGGGAGAGAGAGGGAATTTTGAAAGGAGAAACCACAAAATGCTAGTATTATAGGGAGTGAGAGGATTTGTGGAAGAGAGAGGAGGATAAAATCATTCAATTTTCTTTCATTCAAATAATAGTTTGAAATAATATCCTTTCAACCTTATTTATGGAAATAGGGTTTAGAAGATTGAAATCTATATATTTCCTTAAAATCTTATCCTCTAATCCAAATTAAAAATAATATTTTTAATTTAAATAAAAGCTGAAATAAATTTAAAATGCTAACCACGGTTACACTTTCACATTCCGCGGTTACACTTTCAAATTTTCTCTGGTGTTAGGGTATTGACTCTAAGCAACGCCGAAATAACTCCTCAATAACCCCCCAATAACTTTCGTAGATGTTATTGAGAAATTATTGTGAGGGGATTACGCATGGAGAGCTACGTGTGTTCTCCGTATGTAAATATTTCTCCCCAATGGGACACTAACACCAGATGGAAAAATAACAAAAAACCACAACCCAAGGAAACCAACACTTAAAATGGAAACCAGAAGGTACCAAAATTAAACAAGCAATCTCAAAAAGTAAGTGAAAGCAACTTGCCGCCATTAAGAAGCTCAAACCCTAGACAGGGCGGGAGATGAACAGTGGACCATATTAATTAACTTCCAAGCACATTTTCTTCATGTAGTGTATATGTTTAACTCTAATATAAAATTTAAATATTCAAAGAATTAAAATATGTTGATGCATTAATCACGCAATGAACATCAGATTTAAACTACAATAATGGATTGGACTCCTGGAGTATTTGTAATTAATAATGAAGTGACAACATTTTTTTTTTTTGCGTTCTATTTCAGATCGCATCATAGTTATATTTGTGGATCTGATTTTTTGTTTATTTCTATAAATTTCTAAGGTAGGAAGTTGCTTTTTGCACATGGCAGAGTGGGCATAAAAAAACAAGCTAGAAAATAGAGGGCTGTTCGACACTTTCTATTTTTCAGTTTGAAGCCAGTGGAAAACATGAAGTTGCAGTGGGGGAGGGATGCACGGGAAAGTAGGCTCCCTGGATGTGAGCTTTGGAGCGGATCTCGCAGGGCTGGAGGCTGCGTGTAAGCATGCCATATAGAGGAGAGGGAAAGCTGCATACAGGCTGGAGCTTGAAGAGAGATGGCACTGACGGGTTTCAAACTGAAGCGGTTTAGGGGAAGGATTCAAGCAGCTCTCTTGTAGGGGTGTCCCACTAACTTTGAGAGATGGAGATTAGCTTCTTGCGCAAGTGTTTGAGGATAAGAAATGGTATTAAGTCTTACTATCAGATTGGAGCAGTTGAGGAGGAGCTTGGGAAGAGGGATATGATGCACTGGGTGGTTTTGTGAGCTGCTCCTAGGATGAGATGCTGTGGGAAAATGTGGAGGTTTGGCTGGATTGTATGCTCAGGATAAGGAGGTGTGATAGGGAGGAAGAGCAGATGTGAGCAGAAAAGGGGAGTGTGGACTTGTGTGCAATGAATAGGACGACAGTAGGATGGGATGAGGTGAGTTGGTTTGAGCGACAGAGGAGCTGTGGAGTGCTAAATCGAGAGGAAAAGCTAGTCTGAGATTTGGTTTTTTTGAGTGTGATTGTATAGGATGCATGCATTGTATTGTACTGTGCTGGTTATTTGATGATGGAGCTGAGGCAGAGTTGGGAGAGAAGCGTGGATGATGGCGAGTTTGGCATCAAAATTAACTGGTTTAGGATTTTTGTTTTTAATTGGATAAGGATGGATGAGACATGATAAGACAGCTCACCGGTATGAGAGACTGCGATTTAGCTAGAGATGGGAGGCTGTAAATTTGATTAGGATTTTTCTTAGAAATATTAATTTAATATATATATAAATTTTCTTATAAAAATAATACTAAATTAATAATCATATTAGATTTACTATATATCATGTTAGTTGGCTTTGCTTCAAATTATTGAGATACATGCGGCCGACTTGTGTGCATTGAACCCAGCAATATGGGTGTTCTTTCTAGTTAAATTTGATGTTTTGGACGGGATCTCATGTTAATTTTTGAATAGGCGATGTTTGCTCTACTTTGTCATTGACCGGGTTACCTCGACTCCGATTTGCTTGAAATCAAGTTCTAGCATTGTCATTTTCACCGTGCTTGCTCCTTTTGATATCAAAGGCTTTTTCTCTAGCTTATGTCAATGCTCCGTATGTAAGGAATTGGTCCCTTAGATTGGCGATATTTTGGGTGCCATCATATTCTTTATTAGTCTTTTTTGCTACGTTCGATTGATTCATCTTGTGGAATAGATATTGAGGTTAACAAAGAGAATTAAAGATTTTTGTCCTTTGACATCCTCCTATGGGAGTGAAGAAGTAATGTGAGGTTTTTTTTTTCTGCTGAAGTGGCTAGGGGAAGATAGCAGTTCTTCACCTTCCACATTGTTTGTTTTTAATTCTCAAGTAAATGAAGAAGTTCAAGGGTCAAGGGAAATTAAAAGGAGGAAAGTCAGAGATATTCATTCCCTTCAAAACTGTTCTGAATGAGCAAGAATCTATAATTTCTTTAAGAAGCAGAGTTAAAAGCTTTATAGCAGCCTTGTTAGCTTTATAGGTTTGGATCACTGTTTTAAGAGTTGATGTGTATGCTGTATAGTTAACATAAAAGATGCTCAATTGGAATTAAGATTTTTTATTTAATCAGAACACAATGGCTATTGTTTATGTGGAATTTTACACTTCCTATGAACTTTGGTTTTTCTCTCTTTTTTTTTCCACCACTATCAAACATACAATGTTGTCTATTGTAAAGTTGTAATTTAAAGTATTTTTGTCTTCTTTGCCTTGACAGACATGACATTTTGTTCTTTTGGGTCGCTCGAATGGTCATGATGGGAATAGAGGTCACGGGGACTGTTCCATTTTCTTATGTTTATTTGCATGGGCTTGTCCGTGATGCTGAAGTGAGTATTGAGTCGCAAACTGAGAACTCTATGGTTCTAATATTTGCACCTTTTTTTTTTAATTTCTGCCTATTTTATCTTGGTTTTTTCTTTTATTTGTTTTATCTAATGATAATTCCAGAGTTTTATAGCTTTATGCTATTCACATGGCCTGGGAGGAGAATTGGTCACCGGTTATGAAACCCACATGCAGTGTTTTGAAGATATTGTAATGTAGTTTCCATAATGTGTTAATGTGCTAGATAAACCTAAAATTATGCATTATTCTATTCATTAAAGGTTTGGATTTGAAGTGATACAATATACTAAGATGAGATGTATTTGTTGGTAAAATATATGATAGCACTTCCAAATTTTGTTATTCTAGTGAGAGGGTTATTTGTGATGTTGAAAACAAAATTTTTTACTGAGTTTGGCCAGCATAAAAAATTAGTACTTCAATCACCATGAATTAGATATGTTTTGATTGAAAAGGGTGGGACAAGCCTATGTATTAAAACTACAATATAAATGAAAAAGTAGTAATAATAGATGAAAAATAGTTATAAAAAAAGTAAAGTATAAGTTCAGAAAAATTAGCAAGTGATAAAAAAATTTATGTACCTGAAGAATTTACCCGTTTTTTTCTTTCTTGATGTTCCAAATAATTGCTAAAAAGATGACATTTGCAAAGGTAACCATGCATTGCTTATATTTTTGGCCCCAATGATGTAAAAGTGGAATGGATACCCCAACGTGGCATTACACATGTTGGAAATGTGAGAATTGATATTGCCTAGTTTGTAAGGTAATTTTTTCTCGATAACTTTTTCATATAAACGATCCAAGCATGATTAGCGACCTTGATTTGAATAATTGAATTCATTGAATGCAAGATGTGGTGATAGCCACATTCAGTAAGAACTGGTACATTAAAATTTAACATTCGAAGCTATCAATAAGGATATCTTTTAAATAAAATGGATGAACCTTTTTTGACAATAGAAAAATGAAATTCATATCATCAGATATTTGAACGAGAATATTTTTGTAACCCATTGAATATTCTATCCTAGATCATTAATTTATTGAGAGATGAGGGTTTCCAAGTAATAAAAAAAATCTTTTGTAAAATGAAAGAAATAGGATAGTTCTGAATCCCTTTACTCCCTAAAAGTCAGTGTACTTACCATTATAAATGATCCAAGTGATGTTAAAATGGAAGGGTTTTAATATATACCGACACTTTTTATAAGATTAGCTAAAATAGTCTTCTCGCTCTAACAAATATGTGGGTCACAAATTCCAATATGCTTGTCTTAGCTGCATAACACCATCAGTGAAGAAATATTTGTTTTTAAGGATTTTCACATCTATTTCCTAAGGAAAGTTTAAAGGCTATGAGGCCTAGCCACCATATTCTGTTACCCAGTAACAAGTTTTTACTTACCGAAATGATTAGGACCATTACCTTTTTCCTTTTCTTTCCACAAGAAATTTATTCTAATGCCATCATTTTCATTTTTCACCCACTTAGGAATAAAAAATATTTATAGTACAAATGAATAGGACTGAGGGTGAGTTTGGGAGAGCTTATTTACAGCGGTGGCGTTTTGAAAACGCCACCGGCTGTTTGGAAAATACTTTATGACAGCGTTTTTCTAAACGCCATTCACACTTTTGTATTAGACGTCGAACGCAGGGGGACCCCCGCAATCCGCGTTACATTCGGGCGAAAGACAATTTCTGCCCTTGCTCCCTCTGCCCTAACCCGTTCGCTTCGACATCTCCTCTGCCTCTTCCCGTCGGATCTCTCATCTCCCTAGACATCTCCTCTGCCTCACACACTCGCCATCTCCTCTTTTCTTCGAATCGCGGCGCAGAGAGACCATCATTTCTTTCTCCTTCTTCTCCGATCGTTGGTCTGTGGAATCGTTTTTGCTGTAAGGATTTCTTCGGGACTTTGGAGTTTTCGGTTGCTTAAGAGTACGAAATCCTTTGCTAAAAAGATGGCTTAAGAGTACGGAATCCTTGCCATTCTGGGTCATCCATTCTTAGCTTAAGGTAGTATTTTGATCGATGTATAAAAAAGGTGAGCTCATCTTAAGGGACCGGAAAAAAGCCATCTTAAGGGACCGGAAGTCATTTTCAATGTGTTTAGAGCTATGAAAACATTTTGTGCTAGCACCAGATCAGGGATATTGAGCTAATCTCTTGTTTGGAGGCAACTCTATGCATCCAACTGTAGCAAATGCTTATAAGGATGCAACCCAATCTTTCAGATCAGAGAGTTTATTTATTTTCCTTATTAATATATCAATTTTAATTTTGAGTTTTTTTGGTTAAGAACAAATGTGAATGTCAAGATTAGAGCTGAGCAAACAAATTGTAAATTACTTTATTAGAAATTATGCTACACATAATTTAAAAATAATTTTGTTAAAAATAAATTTCATAATATGTAAACGTTCATCTAACAAAAACCTGTAAATAAGCTGTTTTCAAAACGCACAAACCAAACAGCTAGCCAACTTATCAAAATAAGTTGATTATCGACTGATTATCAGGATAAGCTGCTTATCTGGATAAGCTGAATAAGTTGCAGCTGCCCCCAAACAGACCCTGAGTTAATGAGAATATTCTCATCTCCTTTGGAAGAAGGAATTCAAAAAAAATTTTGTAACCTTTTGGCATGACAATGATTCCCCAATTACTTGAAGAGACATATTTTGAAGAAATGCCCAATAACTTTACTAAGGGACTTACCTTTGCCATCATAATTATAAAGAAACATTTAATGAGGATTTGGTGCAATATATGTTCAAACATGACATCCTTAGACAAAGAGAGCATATGCTTAGTAGAGAGCTTGTTGTTTAGAAGGATCACAAGATAAAAGAGTCATTTACAAATAGGTTAAAACGAGGCCCTTCTCAGATCAAAGTTGTCGTCCATTAATCCATCTTATGTTAACTATATTATCTAAGAGTTTTCTTTTGGAGAGCAACCATCGTAATATTATAAATAAGGGGAGAAAGAACATCCATCATAATTATCAAAAGAAATTTAATGAGAATATAGAGTAATTGATTTTCTAACTTGACATCTTTAAACAAAGAGAGAATATGCTCTAGTTAGAGAGCTTGTTGTTCAGTAGGATCACAAGATGAAAGAGTGATTTACAAATTGGTTAAAATGAGTCCTTTTCAGAAGAATGTTGCGTCCATTAGTCCATCCAATATTATCTGTATTATCTAAGAGCATTTTTTGGAGAACCTCCATCGTAATATTAAAAATTAGGGGAGAAAGTACATCGATCATAATATTAAAATTAAACTAGATAAAGGTTGTCTCCTTGTCTTAATACCTTGTGACATTTGAATTGGTCATTGAGATCTCCATTCACAAGAAGTCCATAGTTGTCATGAGCAGCAAATTCCTTAACCAAAGAGATGAAAATAGGAGGGCCAAAATCAATTAGTAAATTCTGTCAGAATAAAATTTCAATCACAACTATCAAAAGTGATACTACCTCTCAAAAGGTGTTCAGGAAGGATTTTGCGGCGAAAATGGTTGAAGAATCGAAGGTGAAGGATAATTTCGATGTTCGACGGTCTTTGGAGGAGGATGATTGTTGTTCGGCAGTTGTCGCGTCCGAAAATAGTGGTTCTAACATGCAAACGACGAGATGTAAGTAGCGAGGAGGTTCTTCCTTCTATTTTTGTGCAAGATACATGAACACCACTTGTAAAAGGAAAAGATGCAACACTTCTTAGATCATAAATCAGAGAATACAATCTCTAAAAAAACTATAAGAATCACTTTTTAGATCGTAAACCAGAGAATAAAATCTCTCAAACACTAAAAAACATCAAAAGTCCCCTAAATTAGTAAAGTAACAACATATAAATAGTTTCCTCCCAGAAAATCCTAATTAAAAATAAATAATTAGTGAAGAGATCCTAACTAGCTTCAAATAAGAGAGCAATATAAAATAAAAAGTGCACGCAAATCTGGTGGTAGAAATGCTGAATGGGAAGGCCTGTGGGAAATTCCACTTGATGAAATCCCATCCCGGGTTTAGGGCGAGCAAGAAAATCCTATGAAGTTTTGCCATCCGATCCCCGTGATCCTTGGAAAACATGAAAGTGGCTTCCACGTTTGGCTCAAACAGGATCCCTCATTTTTGAAACACTTCCTGAATCATTCTCCTTGGGTAGGAAGAGCTTTTCCTTTTCTGGAAAAGTCTGGAATCGATCTATCATCATAATAACAGAATTATTGTCTTACTATAACTGAGGCAGCCCCAATTTAAAATCTATGCTAATGTCAATTTCAGGCAAATTCAAATCATAAACTTCCTTCTAAAGTTTTTCCTGATAGTATAAATATCCATTCATTTTTTTACACGACCAGAGCGGAAAATGCATACTGGCTCGGGACGAGTGTTTTCTTGGGGGTCTCTGCTTTCCATCGATGCTACGAGCCTATGGCTCACGTGATCACGAAAGTGCAATCGAGCGAAGCAATATTTTTTTTGTTTCATTAACTTTGAATTTCTTTAAATTATCTTCTTTTGCTTCATACCTTTTGATTCTTTCAGATTTCTCTTCTAATTAGGTTATTTCCTCGTAGGAGACCTTTATATAGGCTGTACTCTTGTTTTGGATTTTTTTCATATTACTTTTATGTATTTTGATTTTTATTATCTGCTTTTGTCCTCTCTGGAGTGATGTAGCCACTTCCTCTCACAAGTAGTATGTGTGTAGCTTTCTTAAAAAAGGGTGGTGGATCCCCTCTCCGTCCACACCTTGCTATACTGTTCACCCGCTGTTTTTAGCCAGGCAGTTGTCAACACAGCTAGCACTTAGCTTTACAGCTGACAACTACTCTTTTTTGCTTCCAGTTCGCTGTCCTGTCGTTGTTCATGCTTACTTTTGGCTGTCGTCCATCCTCCCCACTTATGTAATCAATCCTACAACTACTCTTACACATTTGATATTTTGTCACACATTGTATGAGCCATAAAGTTGTGTCATTTGGTGTCAAAGCCGTTCGAAATCTTGGTTATAAGAATTAGACGTTATGCCGACAATGGGAAACTCTCAATGTGGTGCTCAACAAATTACCATGGAGGACAACAATGATCACGCAAAGGAGATGAAGAAAACCCTTTTTGCCATGAAGTTTTAAGTTGCAAAGAGTCGATGCCTTGCTGATTCAACATTGAATATCGGAGGAGAGGATGATTTTGGAGTAGAGGTAAAATTATTGGATTCCGACGATCACATGGATTCAGATGAGTTCATCGAGTGGCTCTAGAAAGTATAATAGAATTTTGAGTATGAAGATATTGTCCTTACAGAGTGGTAATGCTTGTTGCTATCATGTTGAAGAAGAGTGTCTCTGTGGTGGGCTTGCATCTAACACAACTAAGTAAAGATTCTATCATAGATGTGGTAGACCGTTTCTCTAAAATGTCACTTTGTTCCTTGGCACAACACGACAGACGTGTCATATATTGTAGACTTATATTTCAGGGAGGTAGTTCAACTTCATGGTATGCTCAAGTGCGTTATTTTAGAGGGATGCGAAGTTTCTTGGCCACTTTTAAAGAGATTACGAGTTAAATTAGGTACGAAGTTTCAATTCAATTTAGTAGCTCATATCACACAGGTGGGTAGACAAAAGTTGTGGACTACTGTATGAGAAACTTCCTTAGGTGTTTTGTGAGAAAGAACATCAAGTGAGACTGGGCTCTTTCCCATGTGGAGTTTGCCTATAATTGCTCTACTTGTCCGTCCACAGATCACAACCCATTTGAGATTGTGTAAATTAGTCTGTCTGCTATTGATTTTAACACATATATTGATGTTTGAGTCCAGGATATTCAAACCCTACATGAGCTTGTCGGAAAGAAAATTGCCAAGCAGAATGCCTAGTATCATAAATAGGCCAAGTCCAGTAAATCTATGGCTTTAAAAGAAGGCAACATGATATTGATCAGGCTGAAGGAGCGACTTCTTGCAGGTTTATTTGGAAAACTCAAGCTTATAGTTGATGGTCATTCTGGATTGTTAAGAAGATTAATGATAATGCCTACAAGATTGACTTACTAGAGGACTACAATATTCATGCTATTTTTAATGTCCCCGATTTTTCGTTGTAAAACGAGGTTCTGTAATTTTCTGGATGTGAGGGGCAAGCGTCTCTAACCCCTTCTACCTGGGGAGAGTGAAGTGGGATGCTTGTTTTCCCACTGCATGTTGCTTTCCCACGATGCCATGACCCGATTGTTTGTTACTCCTGCAATTGCGAGAGTCCAGCCGACCAAACCAATATCTTTTTTGTTATTTATTTTTTTTATTTCCTTCCCTTTGTTTTTAGTAAGTTTCATTTCTTTGTTATTATTTTCTCTTAGGGAACCATTCTATAGATTTTAGTTTGGTGTTGGATTTTTTCGACTTAGTTTTATGTATATTACGTGTTATTCTTTTTTTTTTTTTACTCTACAGAGTGTTGTAGCATTTTCCTCTTGTAAGTGGTGTCTGTAGCTTGCATACGAATATGTGTTGGATCCCAATTGTTGTTCTCTTTGTTAGGCTGCTGTTTCCAGCTTGATAGTCGTCAACGCCTCAACCACCTGCTGTTTACAGTAGAGAACAACTATTTTCTGCTTCCAAATTAGTGTCCTGTCACCGTTCACGCCAATTTTCTGCTGTCGTCTATCCTCCTTGTGGAATTTGTCCCTGTTAGGTGGCACAAACCTCCTGTCATATGGGCTCCATAGGTTCAATCTGTGGGAGCTATTGAAGAGAGTTTCCTATTTCAACTTTATTTTTTTTATTGTTTTCTTGTTATGTTGTATGCATTTCATTCTTTGCCTGTTTTATATTTTGTAAGTTATAATTACATTAATTATGTTTGCCTTAGCTAAGCCCATATAATAAGGGGAAATGTTGTAACTTGGATGATATGGAATATGAGAATTTAGTTTCTCTACCTTTCCTCGTGACATCAAAGCTCCAGACTTGATTTCAACAAGATTAGGGCATCTTTCATTATACGACTTCATTTGGATAGCTCATCTATCTGTGTTGATCAGCTTTGCCAAACTCTCATCTGTCTGCGTCTATTGTGCGTTTGAATCTGTGTCACTCGTTTTTTTGTTTGATTAGCGCTGCCAAAATATTTGAATGGATCGCTCACCAGTCTCTTTGACCTCATCTGTGCGTTTGAATCTACGTTGCTCGGCTTTGCATCCAAGTATTCTATCTATCTCGTATGTTTAGGATGAAGCAGACTACTTCGTCGACCTTTTCTACGTAGGAAAATCTCACCAGCTAAATTGGTTGCCGTCAACTTCGCTGCCTTCGAGTGCATCATTTGTCGGCCTTGTGTCCTTTAGGTCTTCCTTTGCTCGCTTCTACAGTTGTCAAAGCCTCTACAGCTACCAGAAGCCTCCCTGCAGCTGCCGAAATTCCTCAGCCACCCGACAAGTCTTTCTCTGCACTATCGTAGCTGTTGGATTCTTCCTTCACCAACAAACAACCAACCTTGAAGGTGCATAAGGGTTATGGCCAAGTACAGAATGATGACTGTTTATATACTTTCGTGGAAAAAAGAAAAAAGGAACATCTCACGGGAGAGGATACAGTTCTCGAGCTCACTAGTCTTAACCATCGCTTATGGAAAATCAATGATCATATATTCATGTCGCGATTGATCAATTCTATGATCACAGAAGTTGGAGATTTGCGAGCTGCTCTCGAGACTTATTCTATTATAAAAAATAATGCCGAATTCTTTGGGACTAAGACAACTGCATAACTCCGACAAGAAGAGTTGAGTGTTAATCAATGTTTTAACACATTATCAAGGTATTGGTTGCATTAGATGTTATTTGATCGAACTGGGTAAATAATTATAGTCGCGACAGATTGTGTTAGGAAATTGAGATTTTGAGCTTTCGATGAGTATCATTTTTAACAAATTCATACCTAATCAACATGTTAAAGATATGCTTGGTCCAGGGCTTATACGTTGTGATGTATGTTTGCCAGCATAATACATACTAGGAATAAGGAGTTCTAGGTTTTATGTTGAGTTGAAACGAGAACTTTTTTTTTAATATCATATTAATCTATCACCTTTGACTTGAGAGATTGGGTAATATTTTTTGAGAATTTATTATTTATTTTGTTGATTTCTTAACAGTAATTTTTAAAATTTAAAATATGAGTGTTAAAATCTCCAATTATCCATTATTCTTATTCTTATCTTCCCGTGCATGTTACAACTCCTAAATGTGAAATATTTCTCGTAACCACTTAACAGAAGAGCACAAGTTGTCAGTTTTGGTCTTGTGATCTATATTTATCCTTTTATTTTGCAAATTAAGTACTTGACATCTGTTTCTTTTGTTATATGATTTTTAGCTTACTAGAAACTGCTACTTTCGTCAAATTCTTTTGTTTGAGCTCTTCATCTTTTATTTTTCAGGGAAGAAAAATGTCCAAGACATTGGGAAATGTTTTAGATCCTATTGATATCATAAATGAATATGGCACAGACGCCTTACGATTCACACTTTCTCTTGGAACAGGTGGCCAGGTAAATTATTTTTTGGAGTTGTAGCAACGTATGATCGATGTTACTTTTTTTCTTATTTTCTTACTTTCTTGTTCCCAGGACCTTAACCTGTCTTCTGAGAGATTGACATCTAACAAAGCTTTCACCAACAAGCTATGGAATGCTGGAAAGTTTATTTTACAGAATTTGCCATGTGAAAGTGTCGGCTCTAAACTGGAAGACATATTTGCTTATAAGGTTATAAATTTTTTTTTTTTTTTTTTTTTTTTTTTTCTGATAATGTGGCATTCTATTGGTTGATATAGATAGGGGATCGCTGGAAGCCATTTGCTTGCCGCATGCTTATGAGATTCATGTTTTCTGCCCGTAACTTTTCTTTTAGCATGCATTTACCCATCCTAAATATAGATTAATGGATGATGTTTTAGTCTTTTCAACAGCAAAAATCATCTTAATTTTTTCTGCGGTATTGTAAGTTTTTAGGGAGTAATAAATCAATTAGTATTTTGGATTTATTAATATTACAAAATTTAAATCAGTCGTCCGCAAAATTCCTAGCTGTATAATGCAGATAGGTGAAGATTTGCGGAAATTGAGCCATTTATGTGTTATTCAGATTACTTGAGGATATAAAATGTCATAATTTGGTTGTTTGTTACTATTGTTCGAACAGAAGTGGGAACTATTGTCGTTTTGTCTGTTGCTATCAGATTAAAGGTTTTTTTTTTTAGAATTGTTAGTTGAAAATGTGAAAGAACTTATTTTTCTTTTTGTGAATAATTCGAAATGATTTTATGCCAAAGATAGTGTTTGCCCATATAGGTTCATTAATCTTCTATTTAATTAGCTATTGGATTTATGAGTTTCTTTTGATGTATATTTCAGAAATTTCGGAAGATATTTTAGAACTTAATGTCAACCAATTTATGCTGCAGATTTACAATTGCACTTTCTGGCCCCATCCCTTCGTCTTGCATGTAGTCCCAATGTGATTCTAGGTGAGTATACTGTGGAGTTAATATGTAAAAGCAAATTTTGTATCTAAGGTCATATCCCATTTTATTTGAATTTTGTTGGGACTGTTCCTCAATCTCTTTAAAGATATGTATGCTAGAGCTGTTACTAGTGTTCGAACTAAAGGAGGATTGACCAAATATTTTCCTATTTTTGTTGGATTAAAAATCAAGGATGGGCTTTAAACCCATATCTTTTTGCTTTAGTTATTGATGGTCTTACTGGACATTTATAGGAGGATGTACCTTGGTGTATGCTTTTTGCTGATGATATCCTTCTCATGGATAAGACGAGAGAAAAAACTCAGGAAAAACTTGCATTATGGAGGTCTACATTGGAGTCTAAAGACCTTCATTTGAGTAGAACTAAAACTGAATACATGGAATGTAAGTTTAGTAGTAGTAACTTATGTGACTGAAGTGTAACTATGGGTGATAAGTTATTAAAAGGTGTGAACGATTTAGATATCCCGGGTCTATTGTTCAAAGCGATGGTGATATAGATGGGGACGTTAATAGTAGAATTCAAGTTGGTTGGTTCGTGTGGAGGAATGCTTCGGGCCTTTTGTGTGATAGAAAAGTACCTCTTAGACTGGAAAGAAAATTTATAAGATGGTGGTGAGATCTGCAATGCTGTATGGTGTTGAATGTTTCCCTTTAAAAGAGAAGCATAGTACTAAGTTAAGTGTTTCCGAGATGAGAATGATTAAGTGGATGAGTGACTTTACACGTAGAGACAAAATGAGAAATGAATATATCCATGATAGGGTTGGTGTAGCTCCAGTGACAAACAAAATTAGAGAGAGTCGTCTTAGATGGTTTGGTCACATTAAACGTCGACCATCTGATGTTCCGATTAGGAGAGTAGATGTTTAAGATTCGACTTATGTTAAGAAAGATAGAGCTAGTCCTAGGAAGGCTTGGTCTTATTGTATAAAAAATAATCTTAATTTATTAGAACTAAATGAAAATATGACACTAAATACGACGCAATGGAGAAAAAAGATTCATGCAGCCGACAATACGTAGTGGGATTAAGGCTTTGTTGTCGTTATTGTTATTTTTTGGGTTGACTTCGTTATCAAAAAGAGAGGGATAGAGGGAGGGAGAGGGAGAGGGAGAGAGAGAGGGAGAGGGAGAGAGAGGCATATAAGTGTTGGGGAATAAGAAAGAAAAGGTGGGTGGATAGAGATAAAGAGTGGTAATAGGGGATGAGCTTGGTTGTTAGATTTAAGTGTTGAGAGAATTAGAGAGAGAGAGAGGAGAGGAGGTTTGAATTTGTTGAATTATGAAATTTTTTTTTTAATGGGATAATGTTAAAAATTCTTGTATCAGTGTGGGGAGTGTCATGGCTTGGCCTGAGAACTTGAAAATCATTATATGAATTCATATTAATTAAAGCAATAAATTTTGATATATAGGTCTTATATTAATCTCAAAGGAAGAATAAAAGAAATAATTAAGCATTTTTATGATGTAAGTGCCTACCTGGACCCTTCCTCTTCCTTTGCGAAATCGTTGATCGCCTGTCCTCTTGATTTGTATATCTCTTAAACTAAAAATTTTTAGATATCTCGGGTTTGTTGTTCAAAGCAATGGTGATATAGATGGGATGTTAATAGTAGAATTCAAGTTGGTTGGTTGAAGTGGAGGAATGCTTTGAGCCTTTTGTGTGATAGAAAAGTACCGCTTAGAATGAAAGGAAAATTTTTTATGACGGTGGTGAGACCTGCAATGTTTTATGGAGCTTAATGTTGGCTTTTAAAAGAGAAGCATAATGCTAAGTTAAGTGCTGCCGAGATGAGAATGATTACGTGGATGAGTGGCTTTAAAAACTTAGAGACAAAATGC